TGCCACAAACATCTGTACTTGCATTGTGTTAATGCTAAACACTGACATGGTTAAACCAGAAGAGTGTGTTTGAAAAGCATTTATTAATTCATTAACTGGGAAGTAATTGATAAAGTGAGCACTCCTCTTGTTATTATCCCTTTGTGAGCAGCTTGGCATTTGCTCCATGAGCCAGAAAAGCAAAGTCACTTTGAAAAAATGGGGTGTTTCAAATTTTTAATCTCCTAAATCAAAAGTAATTGAGAGTGGGTAGGAGAGCGTCTACTTCAACTTCCACTTTTGTGTCAAGAAAATCCTGCCTCTTATGATTCAAAATTAATGCCTCTTTCTGGATGATGTCCCAAATTTGGCAATATCAGTTGCCAAAGATATTTGAGTTCTTTCCAAATGTCTTCATTACAAGTTAAATATTAGTGTAGAACACAGAGTCAGAACTTTCCTGTGGTACAGTTTGGGCATTCAGTTCTTCCCTGGGAGGGTGGGCAGGCCCTGGCACAGGGTGCCCAGAGCAGCTGGGGCTGCCCCTGGATCCCTGGTAGTGCCCAAGGCCAGGCTGGACAGGGCTTGGAGCACCCTGGGACAGTGGAAGGTGTCCCTGCCCATGGCAGGGGGGGGATGGGATGATCTTCAAGGAACTGTCCAGCCCAAACCAGGCTGGGATTCCATGATGAGTTTTTCAGCTAAGTTTTTGTGCTTTTGGCAGTCACTGGTACTGGCTTGTGTCTCTTTTTGTTCCTCTGACAAGATTAATACGTGGCTAAGGAATTCAAACTCACCTGTAATGAATGTTTTGGAAATGCAAGCATTGTACATTTGTGGAAAAACAACTTTTCCAATTCTTGTATTCCCTTTTTTCAACTCTGCAAGCACTGCAGGAATCGATCGTGCGTGTGAATGCAGCCGGAGACAGAGATGGAAATGAGAACATCAGCTATTGATCAGGCAGGCTGAACAAAATGAGGCATTAGTTAAAAAGGGCTAACGAGCAGGCAATGATTGTCCCAGGCTGGCAGGGGATGATGCATGTGGGAAGGGCAGGGGCAGAGTGATGGGTTGGTGAGGGATTTGCTGCACTGCTGCCATGGTATTTATGCCATTTTTCAAGGCACTGCTGAGACACGGCTGAAATTCCATGTAAATGATTGAAACACCACAGGCTCCTGTTGTATTTGTGGGGACCCTTGTGGCAGGAAGGAATGATGAATCTGACTCCATGTTCTCAGAAGGCTAATTTATTATTTTATGATGCTATATTATATTAAAGAATGCTATACTAAAGAATACAGAAAGGGTACTTAGAGAATGCTAAAAAGATAACAATGAAACTCGTGTGTCTCCCCAGAGTCCTGACACAGCTTGGCCCTGATTGGCCAATGAGTGAAAATAACTCATAGCAAAAACTAATCAAACAATGACCTGTGGGTAAACAATCTCCAAACACATTCCAAAGGAGCCAAACACAGAGAAGCAAATGAGATAAGAATTGTTTTCCTTTTTCTCTGAGGCTTCTCAGCTTCCCAGGAGAAAAATCCTGGGCGAAGGGATTTTCCAGAGAATGTGAGTGTGACAGGCTCCAGAGATGGACTCTGGCTGGAGCACATCCAGGGGGTTGTGAGGAATCTGGCAGGGGTGGGATGGGATGATCTTCAAGGAACTGTCCAGCCCAAACCAGGCTGGGATTCCATGATGAGTTTTTCAGCTAAGTTTTTGTGCTTTTGGCAGTCACTGGTACTGGCTTGTGTCTCTTTTTGTTCCTCTGACAAGATTAATACGTGGCTAAGGAATTCAAACTCACCTGTAATGAATGTTTTGGAAATGCAAGCATTGTACCTTTGTGGAAAAACAACTTTTCCAATTCTTGTATTCCCTTTTTTCAACTCTGCAAGCACTGCAGGAATCGATCGTGCGTGTGAATGCAGCCGGAGACAGAGATGGAAATGAGAACATCAGCTATTGATCAGGCAGGCTGAACAAAATGAGGCATTAGTTAAAAAGGGCTAACGAGCAGGCAATGATTGTCCCAGGCTGGCAGGGGATGATGCATGTGGGAAGGGCAGGGGCAGAGTGATGGGTTGGTGAGGGATTTGCTGCACTGCTGCCATGGTATTTATGCCATTTTTCAAGGCACTGCTGAGACACGGCTGAAATTCCATGTAAATGATTGAAACACCACAGGCTCCTGTTGTATTTGTGGGACCCTTGTGGCAGGAAGGAATGATGAATCTGACTCCATGTTCTCAGAAGGCTAATTTATTATTTTATGATGCTATATTATATTAAAGAATGCTATACTAAAGAATACAGAAAGGGTACTTAGAGAATGCTAAAAAGATAACAATGAAACTCGTGTCTCTCTCCAGAGTCCTGACACAGCCTGGCCCTGATTGGCCAATGAGTGAAAATAACTCATAGCAAAAACTAATCAAACAATCACCTGTGGGTAAACAATCTCCAAACACATTCCAAAGGAGCCAAACACAGGAGAAGCAAATGAGATAAGAATTGTTTTCCTTTTTGTCTGAGGCTTCTCAGCTTCCCAGGAGAAAAATCCTGGGCGAAGGGATTTTCCAGAGAATGTGAGTGTGACAGGCTCCAGAGATGGACTCTGGCTGGAGCACATCCAGGGGGTTGTGAGGAATTGTCACAGCAGAGCAAACACGACTGGTTGAGCCACCCAGAATAAAGCTGGGGTAGGGGAAGGGAGGGAGCAGTAGCACAGCTTGTAATAAATAACAGTGCTGGGGATAAATACCAGGGAGGGATAAAAATAATTTTCATAGAGAATAAATTACAGCAATTTGGTGGTAAATAAATTCAGAAGAGAGTTTTCAAATGTCAGAGTTGTGTGTGGTGGTAGCAGCCATCAGAGAGTAAGCACAGAAATATCTGAACCTTTTTAAGGTGGAATTTATGGTGTGTTTGGTAAATTTCTGGGAAGTTGGTATGAAAGGGATATCTGAATGCACAGGCAGCTGGGTGCCCCATCCAGCTTTTTGCTCCTGTGTGAGAGTTTGAGCAATGAATGTGCAGCTTTGTGTAGGTTTGCACCCTTACCTGAGAGGTAAACCACCTTCTTACTCTAAAGTATTTCCATTTATTAATGTTCTCTTTATTCATTTATAGCCCAAAACATATGGGGGGTTGGGTTGTTTAAAAACAGCTCACCTCCAGCTGTTTTTAAAAGTATTAAATCCACCTACAAACCTTTGGGATCATTTCAGAGGAAACATGACCTAGGATTCCTTATCCTCAGTACCAAATAAACCCCATTGAGAGGCCAAATGTGTAAATTGTTTGTCTAAACCCCGTGGCCCTTCTGTATTGACTTTCTTTGCTAAATATTAAAGGGCAAAAGGCTGCTTTGGGCTTTCCTGGAACTCCAACAATCCCAGCTGCCAACACAAGTAAGAGAATTGCCCTGTGCTGGGAACATAATAAACACAAATAAACAGGTGGGTGTTCTCCAAAGAGGATACTCAAGGAGTAAGTGCCTGCAGGGCTTGGTGCTGCTCAGCCAGATGAGTGCAGAGTATGCAGCTGGAGGCTCCTGTGGGAGAAACTGTGCACCAGTCACTTGGGGCTGGCGTCCCCAAAAAATCTGTATCTCAGACTTTGTGTGATTTTAAATATATTTGGTGGAATTAATCTCACTCTGGGGACTTAAGGACATATAGAAGGCAGCCAAGACCCAGAGTAACACCTTTGGTGCATGTTGTAAGTGAAGAACTTCTGTTCTTGATAGAATTTATGTTCAGATCTTCTGCTGTGCTGTGTTATAAATACACAGCTCCCCTCCTGTACATCCATGAAGTGTCATCACTGTGGTATAAAGGCACCTGGCTGCTCATGGACATCCTGTTTCCTTGGCTTCCACCGGCCAGAGAAGAAACTCCTGGGCTCAGTGCTGCACTCTCTGTTTGATAACCTCAGTTCCTTCACAGGAACACGAGGCCACGGTGCCCTGGGAAAGTTTCGTCTCATTTTTGTGTCCATTCATTTTTAAAAGTACTTTTTGATATAATTGTAGCTTTTGCTTTCCTATTGACTTGAACCCCCTAAGGTTTAACTTTGCAGTTTATACACCTCAGTTCCATTTCTTCTTTGATGTAGTCTCGAGAGGTCACTCTCAATTGGCTGGATCCTGTTGGAACCCTGGATGCTGAGAATTTTAAACTTTCTGTGCTTAAAGGCACAGACCCTCAAAAGAGCACTACATTTGACCTGAGGCTGTGGAGAAGACTTTAAAAATTGATTGATAGCACTGAGATTACGGGTGTGTACTTGGTTAGAAGTGTATAATATCACACGGTGGAAAACTTAGAATTTGGGGTTTTAGAATATAGAAATAAATATGAACCAAGATAGAAGCTTTAAGGCAGAGGCAAGTTATTCTTCTTTACCTTCTTCTTCCTCCTTCTTCATGGGTTTGGGTGATGTTTTGTAACTGGACAGAGAAGTCCACATTGCAAGCTTCGAGGGATCAGTTATTGGGTTAAAAGGGAAAATAATCCAGGTGTTGTTTCTTAATTGGATAGTTTAGTCTTAAAAGACCTCGTAACAAGAGATTGTTAGCCATTTTGTGCCTTGCTAATGAAAGGCTGCAAAACTCCTAGTTGTGGGGCTGTTTCACTGATAAGAAATAATAAACACCTGAGTCCAGACATGGACTACAGTCTCAAATACCTTCAACCCCAACCTCAAAAACCCACAGGATCCCAGGATGGTTTGGGTTGGAGGGGACCTTAGAGATCATGTCATTCCCAGCCCCCTGCTGTGGGCAGTGACACCTTCCACTGGACCAGGCTGGCCCACAGGTGATTCTAGAAGAGCTCCCAGCTTGTGTGGGTGTCTGTCAAAGCTGGGCTGCACATTCCTGCTGCCTTTGCTGCCACTGGTGCCCAGTCCATCTCTTGGTGTCGAGCTGGCTGTGTGTGGGACTGTGAGGTCTCTTTCTCTGGCTCTAACATCATCTTCTTGCCTTTGTTCCTTCCACCCTGAAGTTCCCCCCACGTTCCTGAAGCGCCCTGCGAACATCTACGCCCACGAGTCCATGGACATCGTGTTTGAGTGCGAGGTGACCGGGAAGCCAACGCCGACCGTCAAGTGGGTCAAGAACGGGGACGTGGTGATCCCCAGTGACTACTTCAAAATCGTGGTGAGTGCACTGGGCAGCTTGCACGTTTTTGGCCTGTCAGTTCTCCATAGTCATGGAAATTGGGTTCTTCTGTAGAACTGCTTTTGTCCTCTTGGTGTTTAGTATCTCCAGCTGGGGGCTGTGTACAAATTACAGACAGGACAGGACTTCCAGGAACGTGCCTTGAGCTGTTTTATTTTCCAGCATCAGTCTCATTACATGGTCATGACAATGGGAAGATGCTATTAGCTCATATCCCAGGCAGCAGACCAAGAACTTAATGTTACAGCTTAATGTTACTTTAAAAGTTTTGTGGCCAGTCACACAAAGTAAAAGCACATTGACAGTAGTTCTACCCAAGCACTATAAGCACACGTCCCTTTGGTTAAAACAATGCCTGATTATTTTGAATACAATACCTGCTTGTAGGCCTTAAAACACAATACACAGAGCTCCATTATTAAGCTTAGAACTTGCTAATATCTTGCTAGATAGACTTTTCAGCAGCTTAGGGAGTTATTCTAGCCAAGCATTAGTACACAGACCATTGTTCTATTTGTCCTTACTTTTCTACTTCTTACATAATTTTTCTGCTGACCAATCTTATAGCTACTGCTTAGCTCTAATCACAGTTCTGCTGTTTCTGAGGCCTGCCTTTTGCAGCTTTCCCAAAACCCTCTGATTTTATGGATTCCCACACTCTGGGACCTGGAAGAGAAATTGTTTCTTGAATCCATTTAATGTACATTGCTTATATTTTAAGAGTTGATGTCTTTATAGCTTGGAATTTCCAGGAGACTCGGGCACACAGGGTGGCAAAATGCACTGTCATGAGCTCACCACGACCACTGGCTGTGTGTGCTGCAGTCTGCCCCATTAAAATTCTAATTTCAAGCAGGAGCTGAAATAGAAATGTAACTGAGCTGTGGATGGTGAGTTTGGCACAGGGGTGCTTCTACAGGGAGATTTCAAATGCAGTCAAAGGCATTATTGAGACAGGTGAGAAATGAATGGCTGTGTAATTGGGTGTACCTGGCTTGTAGGGCTGTGAGGTTCAGTCAGGGTCCAAAATACCACCAGAACAGCTGGGGAAACATTAGGATTTGCCAGTGCTGTGTGATGCTAGAAAATGATGGCCATTAATGAGAGCTTCTGCTGCTTTTTGAACTGCTAGAACATGAGGATTCGGGGCAAGGGAGGTGAGATCTGGGTCACCCAAACACACTTTTCCCAATTGCTGTCATAAGTTTCTCCTATCACAGTAACGTGCCCTGCTGACACCATTGTTTTGGCAATTGCAGCCCATTTCTAAGTGTTGTTTTCTCCCTTTGCTCCTCAGAAAGAACATAACCTGCAAGTTTTGGGGCTGGTGAAGTCTGATGAAGGATTCTATCAGTGCATTGCTGAAAACGATGTTGGAAATGCACAGGCTGGAGCCCAGCTGATAATACTTGACCTTGGTAAGATAAACTGTGACAGCAGAGAGCCAAAAGTGGGGAGGGACCATTCCAAGGGACCTTTCCACAGGGTGGGTTCTGTCAATAGCTCAGCTAGAGCAGGGTGATTTTTTTTTTTTAATCCTGTGAGTGATCCACTGTTGTTTTCTGTACACTTAGTGAGGAGAACTGAAGGAATTCTACAGGATCCATCCTGTATTTTGAATAATATTTGGTGCAATAATAAAACATGATCCAAAATGTTGCATGCTGAGGGTTACCAGCAATAGCCGAATAGTGAAAATGAAAACATTCACTAAAATCACAAACCTGGAAAAGAAGCAGTTATGGAGCACACCCCAAATCACCCCAAATATTTTATATCAAAGTCATTCCAGTGTCAGAACCTTTTCCTGCTATTAGTGTAAAAAATAGTGAGCTTTGTCATTCCAGCAAAGTGCAGCTGCACATCTGGTGGTTTACAGCTGCAGTTTAAGGTAAAGATGTGCTCCAATCAGTGGAACTCCTGCCAGTGCTCCCTCTAAAGTGTCCTGCATTGCATGGCTGGGGTGGCAAAGCAGAACAATTGGTGTTATGATTAAAGACCCCAAAAGAGAGATACTGCAAATATCATCGCTAAGGCATCAGGTTGTTTTGCTCTTTCAGGTCACAGAGTTATGAAAAATAATTTCTAAAAGCCCAAGGAAGAAAACCCCAGAGGATGAGGGGAGACAAGTCAGACAAGAAAATACTAAAACTGTACTGAGGGGGGCTTTGTGTTCTCTTTTTGGAGGGGGATTGTTTTGAATGCTAATTTATTTCTTATTTGAATGGAGAGGATTTAGGAGAAACAGTCTTAGCCTTGGCTGGAGGCTTGATGGAACTTCACACCTTGAACAGCTGTGAATCTGCTGCCCCTGGCTTTGGTGTCCAGTGTGCAGACAGTAAACCTAGGAATGAGCCATAAAGAGAGATTTCCTGATTATTTTCCAGGTGTTTTGTAGAGTGCACTTGCTACTCCCTCTGAATTCCTCTTTGGATCTGGGTGTGTTTCACTGCTGGCTGAAGAGCCACAGGTACTCCCCACAAGGATTTGGGGAATGCAGGGTGCCCTCTCCTGGGGTCAGGAGCTTTAATGCCATGGAGCAGTGGCAGGAGTCTGCATCCAGCACTGCCCTGCTGTCATCAGATTGCCAGAAGAATTATTAAAAGGAATTTAATTTCTGCTCTGTGCATTAATCACCTGAGTGGTTTGCAGCCCCTTCCAGCAGAAGCATTATTCCATATTCTCCACGTTTCAAACACTGAATAATGGATGGCCTTGGCTTTGGGAGCCCTGCCCAAGCCTGTGCTTGCACCCAGCTCCCAGCAGTGGTTTCTAAATGACTCTCACTGTTGTTATTGGAGTTCCTGTGGTCTCACTCCTCTGCCTTTCCCTCCCCTGCTGTTTGTCCAGTGGTTTCTCCTTCCTGCTCTGCTCCAGCACCTCATCCTGCTGTCCTCAAGGACTTTGCTCATAATGTCCTTTCTCTTTTGCATGCTGCCAGAGGATTTGGGCTGCAGTGGTGGAGTCTCACAGGGGGTGTAGAGACACACCCGAGGCTGTGTCCCTGGAACTCTGGGGCCATTGAGATGCTGTTCTGCAGCAGTGGGACACCCCTGGAACACATCTGAGTGGAACTGTGCTGTGCAGGGGGCTGTGATGGGCAGTGCCGTGAGGAATGAGTGTGATATGTGAAATCTGGCCATTCACAGGTGGAGGAAATATGGATATTGGGGTTTAAAATATCTTCCTTCTCTCAGTCCATGAGCAGTGGAGAAGGATACTTCTGGGAAAGAGGGTGAAGGTATCACAGGCAGTAGTGGCAGCTGGCTTGGTATGAAAATTCAAACCCCTCATTTGAGCAAAAACTATTCTGAACATTTCAATCATTAATGCAGAAAACTTATTTTTAAATTATTTCATAGCTGCTGATCAGAAATGCCAACTTTACCAATTTGAAAAGTAACTTCAGTGAAAAAAATGTTGATTTAAGTGTTCATCAAAGTTCTTCCCAGTTAGCAGTGCTTCCCTTCCTGTGCTGTTCTCTTTTCTCCTTCCTGCTGGAATTGGCAAACATCTGGCTATTTACAAACCATTTCTCATTAGCCCTTTTGCTTATCAAATTGATCCTGAATGAACTAAATGCAAATGAGAAAGTGGAAGCCCTGGGGAGTTTCTCAGGGAGGCCACGTGAGTGCTCTCATCCAAGTGAAGTCCCACATCTGTGCTTTGTGCTCCTGGAAGGCAGTGTAAGTTTGAAATGCAGTGAGGGGAAAACATTCATCTGCTACAAAGGGAGATATCCATGTTTGAACACATCTCTGACTTGGAGAGAGCAGGAATTTGGTGATTCAGGTTCTGCACAGCCTGGGCACAGCCCCACAGAACCCTGTATAAAGTCTGTCTGTGACTCTCATCTCCTACAATGAGCTTGATATAATCATGGATCAGACATAAAGTTTTAGGCTGGGATTTTTGGTGTTTGGGGTAAGTTCTGGGTAGCTTTTACTACATATGAAAGTTATTTGTGGGAAATGTTAAAGCACAGAATTGAAAGGCTTCTTGAGTGCCTTTTCCTCTAAACTATGGTAATTCTGTTAATACATTTGTAAAAGTTTGCACCTGGAAAGGGATTGGCCATACAGAATCCACAACCCTGGCTTTTTCAGGAATATATGAAAGAATCATGGTATTGAGAGCAGAGACTTTTACGACAAGTGTTTGTAATTGAGAAGGTTGGAAGGATAGAAGAGGGAGGAAGATTTGGGTCAATGGTCTGAGTTAAATCATCTTCATCCCTGTACTGAACATCAGGTGTAGAATTCTGCAAGGAACTTGAAAAGCCTCTCGTGTGCTTTCCAGCCACTTTGGGCTTTGGAGCTGTGTCCCTGTTTCAGATACTGGCCCTGGGCACTCAGTGCCTTTCAGAATTTCACTGGAGTGGCTCTGCTGCCTGCTCTGCCTTTCAGGAAGAATTTGGGAATTCTCCCTAAGAGAAGGAAGTTCCTCAATGACCTCATTGCCTCGCACTTGGACTTTCCAGTCTCAGTGCTTCTCTCTTTGCCTCCTTGATGAGGAGATGAGTGGTTTGACGTCCTGCAGATGCCCCCAGGAGGACTCCTGCCTGTCCCAGAATCTCCATCGTGCCTTAGGAATGCCTTTCTCAGCAACCTCAAATCTCTCCTCCCCCTTTTTTACACAAACCCAGCTAGCTTTACTTCCAATCCTCATTGCTCAGCCCCTGAATGTCCCAGTTATGGAGCAGATACACTGAATTACAGCAGAGCCATTCCTTGTCATCACTTTTACAGCATTTTTGCGTGTGGGGGATGAGACCCTCGGGGTAACAGAGGCGTTTGGGGTTTCTTGGTGCTGTAACCCAGCCTTGTCCAGGGAATCTGGCCCTGCTCACGCTGCCATGTGGAGACTGGGAAAAGAACAGGTGGCAACAAGTAGGAGGAGGGAGGCAGATGGTTCCCTGTCACCCTGTGTGAAAGGCATTGACGAGTACTCAGGCACCGGGGAAAAACAGGAGTGATGCCTGAACACTGTGGAAAGCAGGGTCTGGATTGTAAACAAATATGCTGTGCTATGGGAGAACAATTTCAAACCATCCTTTCAGATGCACTGTGTCACCTTCACAAGTGAAGGGGGGTGCTTTGTGGGGCTCTTGTACTTTTATACTACAAAATTGGGTTTTTTCACTATATTGTGAATTGTACAGGAGTGAATGAGTTGGATACTCTGCTGTAGGAGCCATGTCAGTATTGTTTGTTATGGAACTATTTCTTTAAAATTAGTTTTTTTCATGAAGAAAGGTCTCTGTCCAAGCAAGGGACTGCATGTGATTAATTATTCCCAGCATGGGAAGCAAGGAGGTGGAATTAGAAATCTGTGTGTAGTTGTAGAGCTGTGAGGCTTTGGGATCACAGAGACATCTGGGGATGGCTCCATGGCATGGATGCAGGTTCTTCAGGGAGGAGGGGTGGGGAAGCAGGGAACTGGGTCACCCTCAAAGGCTGATTCCAGTGTTTCCTCACTTTGGAGAGGGTGATGAGGCAGCCAGGAGCACTGGCACAGGGATCAGTGGATGGAAGGACAGCAGTGTGTGTCTGCTGGAGACTGGGTCCTGCAGGGCAGGGAGGAGATGGAGCTTTTTAACACAGCCCTGGTGCTCCTGTGGGCTTTGAGCCATGTGGGGGTGCTGGGTGGCAGCTCTGTGTGACAATGGAGTTTCCAGAGTAGGCTGGAATTCATTGCCTGTGTCTGGCTGGCAAGTGGAGCTGAGAATTCCAGCCTTCAGCTCCAGGCAGGAGGCTTTGGCTTGTTTGGGATATTTTTTGCAGGTTTCTATAGGTGACTGTGTTAACAAGAGGCAGACCATTTGGTCCTCAAGGACCAAAGCACAGTAATGGTTTGCTCCACAGGGCAGGGGTTGAGTGCGTGTGTCCAGGAGACCAGAAGGGATAAAGAAGGAGCTGCCAACTGGGCTCCAACACAAAGTGAAAGCCCAGGGAATCTGGAATCAAAGGCAGAAAATTGCCTGGAAGTGTAGGGATGTAGGAAAGACAAAGCTCAGCTGGAGCTGGAACCTTTTCAGGGAAGGTTATGGAGCAAATCCCCCTGGTGGCCATGTTGTGGGTACAATGTGGGTGATGATTGGGAACATCAGCATGGATCTGCCAAAGACAAACTGCCCAGCTGCTCCCGTGGCCTTCTGAGATGAAATGGACAACCAAACTGTGCCTGTGGTGGAGAGGAGAGAAGCAGATTTTGTTTGCTTTGCCTTTAGCCAGGCCTTTGGTGCTGTCTCCGAGGGTATCCCTGAAGCTAAACTGGGGGAATCCAGACTGGATGATGGGATGTGTGGAGAACCATGGAAACTGGGAGCATGTGATGTACTGGATGGGCTGAGTTTGATTCATCCTGGACCCCCTGTTGCTGCTCAGGCAGGGATGGGGACACAGGGCAGGTGGTGGGG